TGGGGTTTGCAGCGCCTGTACGGCCTTAAACCCGAACCAGTGTGCCCTGAGGGGACCCCCAGCTTTTGTGTCTGTCGGGCGGGACTGGCAGCGGATCCTCCTGCCCGCGCTGTTTTGGGGGAGAGGTGTCCCCTTGGCCTTTCTGTCCTCTGGAAAGCAAGAGTCAGGCTAACAGATACTAAACACATTAAAAATCACACAGTGCTCGTGCACCGCTCTGGTGTCCCTTGCTAGCTTGAGAAGTGCTGTCCTCGCCTGAAGTTTCATTATGATTTTAACTGCAGATTCTCCTTGAATGGAAGATGAAGCAAGCTCTTGAAGTTTCTTATTAAGGCTTGTTAGGGGAAGCAAGAGGCTTTTTTAAATTGCAGCTTCTAAGAAAAAAAACATCTGGCAGACAGATGTGCTGCTTCAGAGCTGTTTAGTGCCCAGGTACAATAGCAGTTTTAGACAAACTTTCAAATAGGGCTTCTAGGCGCTACCATAATGTAAATGTTTACTACCAGTACTACTAATAAATGTGAACCAGAATTGCTCTGCTCTCACTGAGGGCATAGAGTCTTTTCTACCACGCTGTAGGCTTATTTGCTGTTTCCCTCCTTACATAGGGATAGTTTAGGATGGTTCAATGTGGCAGTGGCATCACACCATTCACACAACATTTTAAACTTCGGAAAACTCTTTGTTTTCAGGTTGATGGGACAAAGACAATGAAAAAACAGTAGTTGCACCTAGCACTGAATTTGATTCTGCTGTAGCAGGCTGGAAGTGTATTTTCTGTTTGTGAAGATCCACGTGTGATTCAGGACCAAATTCACAATGAACTGGGACAACTCGTAGTTAATCCTTTCTGCAGCAATGTTGTTTTCCACATTTCAGACCTACTAACTTCCAAAGAAAAGACAGGAAGGGTGACCCAGAGAGAAGAAATTAGGACAGCCTCTCTTAATTAGCTGGCGCATGTTATTAGCTGCTACTAGCACATGAAGAGAAATGTGTTATAAAGGGTCCTATTGTGGACAGCAGTGCTTGTGCAGCTGCCCAGAAAGCAATTAGGATTAATTTTTAGATGAAGTGTCAGATAGGGTCTTTGTGTGTTTATACTACCCACTGAAGAGAAAGGAGAGCACAGCTCACTAAGGCTGCGATTTTTTGATTTATCCATGTGATTTAGGGTTTGAAGTCCCTTTAGAAAGTGGGAATTAAGCTTCCAAGCCACTTAGGGTGATGTTTTCAAAGGCTTCTAAGTCAAGTACATTTGATGTTATCGGCATCTGCCTTAGGCGTATGGGTAAAGTTATGTTAGTTACTGATGTATTGTTTGCTGAGAGTACACGTGTACAAATCAGCAAGGCCATTTTGTTTCACTTATTTAGAACTCTTTGTTAGACTGCAGCAGAGAAGAAACTCCAGCAGTAAGTGAACTACTTCCAGACAATACTGGCAATGGTCTGTAAGTCTTGCATTTATTAGATGGCTGTTTTTCCACCATAATGTTTTGGTAGCAAGCAAAAATTATCATCTCCAGATGATTCTCCGTGGACAGATCCTCCTTCTTCCTTCAAAAGCCAAAAGCAATTGCAGGCTATCAATAATATTTCAATAAAACTGTTCTTTGCTCTAGAAATGTCTATGAGAACTCAAACTATGAGACACATTGCTTGCTGTATCAAGGCATGTGATGCTTGTTGACTGAATTGCAGATAAAAGGACTCTGCCTCCAAGTTAGAGGCCCACAGGTTTACTGGAAGCAGCAGTAAAATGTAGTGCCAGTCACCTTTCAGAAAATACTTTAGCACTTGCAAATCATTCAATCTTTTGGAGAACAGTATTTTAAGTTTGCATTATATTTCATTTAATGTGGCATATAAAAATTTTCTTACGAAAACAACTCAAAAAAATCTTTCATAAGATTTTGTGGCTCAGTACTGGTACTTTGCTTAATGTACTGTAACAATGTTTCCAAACTTTGGAAAACATATCCTAGAGCACTTAAATCAAGTTGTGTGTGAAATTAATGCCTTGGTTAGATAGTACAAGGCAAGAGTTACCATGAGAATGAATGTACTGCCTGTTTGTAGTGTGTTGTATGACACTTACTGTGTGTGTGCAGAAACAGCTTTCTAGTGGGCACAGGCACCGACCTGCATTACATCCTCTGTTTATTTATATGGGTTTGTTTTGGGGCAAGGCATAGAATACAAGAATTGAAAGGAAGAAGCACCTATTTTTGTGCACTGGAGCCTGTTATTAAAAATTAAAGAGAAAATCAATATTGTTGTAAACTCAAAGCTTGTTGCTTAAGAAGCTCAGGGAAGGGATATGTCTCTGAGGTTCAAAGCCTAGCTGATTAAGTAAACGATGAAGGTTTGGATAAAGTGTGGCTGTCCTCTGGGTAAAGTTTTGGTAGAGCTATGAAAAAGGACCAAACGGAAACAGGACATTAAGGTGCATTGACGGGGGTGTAGTGGAGCGCTGCTTTTTACCATGAGTCTGTTTCACTTAAAAGTGGCTACTAAGGAGGGGTAAGCATTCAGTTCAGTCTTCCTCTCCCAGAAAACCTATTTTGGAGTCAATAGGTTTTGCTCATGCAAAACCTGTTGCTTGGTTCATGCCAACAGATTGTCAAGGACTACAGCTGTGATTTATCTGTGGTCTCAAAGTCCTTCCCAGAAGAGATGAGGATCTTTATTTCCATTTTATAGATGGAGAAACAAAAGCAGAGAAAGGTTAAATGACTTCCCTGAAGAACCCAGCTGGCTGACAGCAGATCTAGGATTAATTAAAATGCCTCTTAAGTGTCAGTGCAGGCTGTGGCCAGTCACAGAGGAGGCAGGGAAGCAGAAAACTCAGCAGCCAATGTATTTTCCTGACCAGTGGACATGAACTCAGTGACACCTTAAACGGCCCAATTCTCCCTGTGTACCTTCATCAAAGTCAGTGGAAGTTCCCAAGGGATGAATTTGACTTGCTCCATTTATGCAGTGATGTATAAACAAAACACAGGAGCAGCAGCCTACCTCCATGACCCCCCAAGAAAACACACCAAAGTGCCCTGATTTTTGAGTCACAATACATGAATCCAGAAGTAGGATTTAGTTGCTATGGTTTAAATCTTAAGGTACAGCTGCAGATGGTGTCTCTGATAGATGTTTTTTGCTTACTCTAAAGTGGTTGCTCTGATCACATTCTGTGGAGCAACAGTAACACCTAGTGGCTAAACGTGCCAGTCCATTGCCTCCTTTCTTTCCTTCCCTTCAAGAAGCACGAGTTGGAGGGGACATGGTGTGATTGACAGTTTTGATTTGCAAGGCCAACACTTAGGATCTCCAGGGATTTGCCATTTTCCTTTCAACCCCCCCCATGTTCTGTTTTCTATTAAAAGTGGTAGATGAAATATGAAACTCTTCCTCCCACCTCCCAACCCCCTTCGCTTTTCTGGCTCATGGAGGAGGTTGTTCCAGTCCATCTTGATCTGTAGGTGGGTGGGCTGTGAGTGGCCGAGCCTACTGCTTCCAGCTTGGAGCACTCAGATTTCTGTAAGGAATCCAAGCTTTTTTCTTTTTCTTTTCTTGTCTGAAAAGGATCAAGCAGATCATCTGATGGAGGTTGGTGACCTCAGTGCATTTGATAATGTGGTGTTAACTTGCCTGCGTTAAGGCAGACCAAACCGATCTGTTCCAAGAAGTACCATTTCTTAAGATGTGGTATGCAGGATTGTTTGCCATGATCTACTGGGACTGCTAATTCGTCAGAGAGGGACCCCCTAGAAAAACAGTATTTGAGAGGGAAGAACCCACAGATGTTTATTGTGTTAGCAGGAGAGCCCTTCAGAGGGTCTTCTTTCAGGGGAAAGTTTCAATTTTTCCACGGAAAAAAACATTAAGCAAAAGTATTTCTGCTAAAGCCCAGATCATTTGCATTTGTAAATAAAGTCTCAACTCTTTGCAGGAATTACAGTACCGAGACATTATGGTCTCATCATATTCATGCTGTTTAATTTTAGGCTTCTGGTTTAGGTATTCTGAATTACCCTTTGGAAGCATCTATTTAGGAGGGTCTTCATGGCCTGTTGGCAGAGCCTGG